TATTTATTGATCAATATTTAGTTTTATACCGCGTCAATTTTATTCCAATCTTTCATAATCCGTGCAACCATCAAATCTCACAGACACTTTCGAAATTTAATAAATTTATTAATTATTTCCCTCGGAGAGAGCAGTTAGGTAACAAACAAAGGCCAACATTCCAAAACCTGTTTTCATACGGTCGGCAATGTTTCGATTGGCAAACATACCGCGGGTTGAGCTGATTCCGCTAATCTCGCGAGCGAGCGCTCAAGTTATTGGTAATCCGCGCAAGAGGATTCACATTCGATTTTATTTCACGGTTTCCTTTATGCGAAAGACGTAGGATTTCTATTAGCTTTGTGCCCTGGTTAGATTGAATAGCCGCAGGCTTCCGCTGGCGTACGCTCGCGACTCCTGTTTCATTTACAAATGTATTTCCCTCTCAGACGGAACTTTCAATTTAGCCGGATGCTTCCTGCGATGGCAGGGAATGCGTAGGCGAGGGGGAGGGGCCCTTTCATACACACGATTCGTCTGCTTAGAAGGTAGCGTTCCTCGCCCAGAAACAAATCGAAACGACAAACGAACTGCTTTCCGCGATCGGCCGTCTCGTATACGTGTTCCGGCTATGAACGAATTTATTTGTGGCTAGACGGTAATTGTGCCCGAGAATGCGCACTTTGAAATTTTCATTCGACCGCTTCATACGGATATTCTTACGTGCAAGCTTGGGAAAATATTGCAAAATTGATACTCAGAATTGAGCGCTTAGCGTAAAAACTTGGAACATTTGATTGATTCGTTTTACGTAGATTTTGAAATGATCTATGAAGTGTATTAGCTACAAATTTGATTCCAGTTGGCGCACCACCCAAGCATTTAAGAAAAGATTGCATATTTTATCATTTAATATTTCATTATTGCACCCGTTATCGTTAACGAAATGCAGAATTTATAGCATAATTTGCAAGATAAGCAGATTATGGCTTAATTCGTCTTACTCCTCTCTAAATAGTCACTGACTTGCAGTTACAAGTATACTATTGAAAATTGCAGTGGTGTACTGTAAATCAGTGACTATTCACTGATAATTCACTGATTGACTTTTAGAGAGTTCGATATCATAGAGGAATCGACATCTCCATAACTGCAAAGTATGAAATTGTGCGGTGCAGAGATATATCTCGGCAAAGTTTTTCTTACACAAATCCAATTCCGGACTTCCCTCGAAGAAATGACGGTTTTAGAGCAACCGCGCGCTAAACGTACGCGATAAGTCGGACGAGCAAAGTTGGCGGATGCGTCTTTGCGCCCAACCAAATTCGCGATTCGATTCACTCGACTCGCTCGGATACGTGTCTCCCGGAGACACCGAAAAAGTTCGCGGCATTGTCGGTCGGTGGGATGGTTTCACGGGAGACCGGCGCCGAGTTCCGCTGAAAACTGCGTGGCAAGTCCGTCAATTATGAAGGGACCTTTAATAATGAAAGTAGCGGAAGGAGTTCCCTCGGGCGGCATCACCATCTTTCATGCTTACTGCTTAACAACCGAGCGTCTGCAGGCACCGTTTTGCCTGCTGCGGTATCAACCCCCTTCCCTCGACACTTCCAGCTCGCGTCGACCCTTTCTTTGCGTTAATTCACCCCCCCATGCTGTACACCTGATATCGCGATGGCCGCCATCGCGTAATTCGTATCGCCGTGAATCAGTTTCCGCGGAATGTCAACATATCCCTATACACCGAAAGAAAGAGACATAATTCAAATCAGAGGTATTATTTTTCGCAACAGACTTAAAATTAAAATTATTTAGACACTAACATCCTGTCTTGGCTCGTACTCCTTTATCGCTTCGTACATGTGTTTTCACATTAGAGCCTTATGCATTTTATTAAGTGCAGAAAATAAGAAATTTTCAAATCTGTTCGCATTAGTTAAATAAAATTGACGCAAAACTCTGTTTTTAATCGTACGCCATTGAGTAGCGTGAAATAATAAGCTACGGCAAGTATGGCAATGAAGCAAGCGAATCCCTTTATCGTTCACAATTACCAAATCAAAACAATGGTGCGAATCATGGTATCACAATAGCCAGATTCTGACTTGAGCACGATACAAAGATCCTTTAATAATGCCAGACGCTATCCTCTCTGGTCTTCTTTCCGCCGAGGTAAGCGCTCCTCTTTTATGAAAAATGAAAATCACGCGCGTCGGGGAAATATTCGCAAATGTACAAACACGGGTGCCGCGCGCGCGATGGCCAGCACGGACCTTTTTTCCGACTGCCTGTTTTCGTAAATCCTCGTTTAATGTTCCCTTCAGCGCGCGACGACACTCGAGACAGCCACGCGGAATGCGGCTTCTGCGGCGTCATCGTGGGGTAAACTCCAGGCATCTGTCCCATGCGACCCACGAGAAATTTACCATGCGTAAAAAAGGGGAGAGCTAGAAAAGATCCGGCGGAGTACGTCCGCGAAGAAAGCAGTTAAAGGCAGATAGTACACTTTGCTCGTAAATCTGAGCGGCAAGTTGTCCTTCTCGTTATTAATGCGTTGCTTCCTTAATGAAGTGCATGTTTGTACGATTCGATTTTTATTGATTTATTCCTTCGAATTTCTTCGCAATTATTCTCACACGATATATCTTTGCCAACTGATTTATTACATTGTCTGCTATTCTCTAATTAACAAATATTCAGTAAGTTTCCGACATCTGTAGAAAAACAATTTGTAAACAATTATTTACCCTAAGGTTACTTGACGCAGACATTAATTAATTACAATATCATCAGCGAAATGCAACAAGAGGCACTTGGTGGGCGTAAAAATGCCTCAAAGAGATAAGTCTGAATGATGTGTACAACAGAAAATTTAAGCCCGTACGTCTCTTCGACGACGACGACGAGTAAGTAGGGAACACTCGAGTAAAGCTCCGGAATCTCGCTTGCCGTTTCACGGCGAGATCGGCCAATCCCTCCGCGAGTATAAACGCCGAGGGAGGGAAGGGGGCGAGCCGCGGAACGTTTAATTATTTGCGCTATCGCACCAAAGACGGACGATAATCAGATATCGGCAGGGAGCGCGTCGCGCGCGAATAACTCCGCTTGTGCAAACTCACCCCGCGCTGTGAGTGCCCGAACATCCCCGCGCGTCCATAGTCGCTTCGCTGGCTCGCTATATATGTGTGCATGTGTATATATATGTATTATATATATATCAAGTCAATAATTAACACCAGTTACAACTTGTGGGAATAGTAACGGCGTTTATGCTCCCGGGGACGTCGTATTTCAGGGAAATGTGCTCGTGCCGTCGCGCTGTACCGGTCCGTAGGAGCGCCACGAGGATTTGTCGCTTAGCGGCGAAGGGAGGGGAGAGGGAGTTGGTGGCAGAAGAGGGTGCGAGTTCGAGGCGTAGGTGGTTGTTCGGGAGAGGCAGCGGGCATCTCTCCCTCTCTTTCTCTCTCTGTCTCTCTCTCTCTGGTAGTGCAGCGGAACGGGACGAAACGGTACAGGATGAAAGGGGTAAGGTGGCGCGAAACGCTTCTGCCACGGTTAGGTCGCCGGTACCAGATGAACAGATACGGGAATATGGGCGGTGGAAATATAGATTTAGGCTAGAGGCGACCGCCGATGTTCTCCTCATCTCTCCCTCTTTGGTTCTATCTCTCGGTCCCTCTTTCTCTCTCTGTCTCTTTCACTCTTTCGTCCTACGCTCGAATGTTCTCCGTTTACACTGCGAGAAGCTCGTACGCGCGCGCACGCGCCTTTTCGCCTTTCGGCGTGTGAGCACGTGCACATGTGTGTATACGCGTGCAGATAGCGAATCCGCTGGTCCCGACCGCCTAAGTCCTCAGGTTTACGGCGATTACGGATTCGCGGGCGATCTTACACCCCCGCGCGCGACTCGACGTTGGTTGTTCGTATGTTTGGCTTGAGTTTCAGGTTTGCGCGCCGCCACGGGTTTCCGAGACGATGGAGGAAGAGACGATGGAGGAGGGAGGGGGGAGGGAGAGACGCGGAGGGTGGCGGTGGGAGCCGGAGGTGATTTACTGCCGGCTTACGGGGGTGTGAGACGACGCCACGACGCTGGATCGCCTATGAACGGGTTAATGGAGCGAGCGGGCCGCGCCACCCAACGAGCACGGCTAACGAAGAGGGCCTCCTCTCCTCGACGCCCCCCTCGCCCGATCCACGCTTCTCCGTCTTCTTGGTTAACTCGCACCCTCACCGCCGACGGCCGCTCCTAATCACTAATGATAACAATATTACCGGCGAAAACCGAGCTAAGACCGGGCCGGGACGTCAGAGGCTGATTTAGTGCTACCCTTAGGAACACCGATCGCGCACCGCGTCGCACACACCGTCGCGGAATAACCGACACCGTTAATCGACTGAGTTTATCAGTGCGGCGTTAGCGTCTGTTAAATCGTTAACTGTTACAATTGTCCCTGGAGGGCCATATTTAAAAAAGAAGAAACAATAAATTGTCTTAATTTCAGAGAGTCGAAATGAAAATATGACGCAAGTGCGCGATAGCGCTCAAAAGTTTTCACAAGTAAATGTGCGTCACATCTTATTGTTAGTAAAACTTTATTAAAAAGAATGAGAAGAGTCAATTTCTCGTACTTGTATCTACAAGATTTGGAATATTTTTCTGAGTTTTAGTGATATTTGAAAAAAAAAAAAAAACTAAATTGTTTTTTAAATTGTTGTAATAATAAAAAGAGATGTACATTGATAAATGTACATATGTGTGTGGGATAGAGTTTATCTGAATGTTAACGGTTACGCGTGAAAAAGTGCGCACAGATTCTCACCTGACCCAATTGGCTCACCTGAAACTTTCGTGACATTGGAACGTTTTAAATGGTGAAATATAATTGGATCATAACTTTGGAATAGAAAAGTTGACATTTATGTTAGCTCCCGTGCAATGAGTTAACGCTCGTGATATATTGCTTTAGCGTGCTGCGGGTAATTAACGAAGAGTCAGAAGGCGATCGTATTTACGAGCATCTCCACGTTTATCGTTTTATCGCAGCGATACTCGGACTTATCTCGACCTTGCGATCGAGCGTATCGCCCCAGTTTTTAACATGTCGCTCGATACACAACAAGACCGCCGGTTTAGCGGACTAAAAGGGGATTGGAGTCGTAAAAGGGTTTCAGGCCGCCGGAGACGTTACACCACGCCGTTAGGTAGGGATGAAACAGTTTGTGCTAAATCAGAGCGTTGGTCGTTAGAGAAGATATAGGGGCTAATTAAAATAAATCTTAGAAAGGAGTAATTATACGTGTATTAGCTGGCCCTGGTAGAGCGGACGTGATGGACGACGCAGCAGCAGATGTACCCAAACGGCTCTTCATTCCTACATTTTCCTTATTGCAGGACGGACACGTTGCACCCAGTGCGTTTTGTCCGTCCCTCGGATTAACCTCTGTGTCTCGGCAAACGGCGGCACAAACGGCGGCCAGTGCGCGAGAATCGCGCGAAATTATTTCTGCCAAAATCAATTCGTCGAAATATCCTCCGCCCGTTGCCTTTTGAGCTCACGGACAATTAGAGTTTAGCCCGCAAGCCCAATTAGTGCCTGATCAAAGTAACATTTATCCACGGCTCTTTACTTCCGTTCTCATTAAGCTCATCAGTGCATCGGATGGGCACGTGTTCATGGCGCGATATTAATTTACCTTTGAAAGCTATCGAACAGGCGCGATTCGCAAATTCGAGCGACGACTCGCCAAAATTCCCAATAAAATAACCCAACTTCGACCGCCGCCCCCGTCGCCTCCGCCGCCCTCCCTCGGGCCACCCGACGCGCCGTCCTGCACGGCCAATCCCGCCTACCTCTGTGTCCCTCTCCCTCTGTGCCAGGAATCAGTGAACTCATTATTACGATAAACTCGTATACATATTTATCGCGATGCATTATTACTCTTTCGCCGACGGTCCAGCGCGGTCATCGATTGTGAATTTCATTTGGCGACTTAATGTACCGAATAGTAATGCCGCGCCGTGGTACTTTTCATTAACGCGCACGCTGTTTACGGCAATAAGCCCAATTAAAAGCGTTGTCGACGTAAACGTTAAATCAGCGGCGTTATCGCGATGTGCGAACTCAAGCGGCGAAATATCGTTCCGTACTTCTTTGTCGTTGGAGAGAGAAAGAGAGATTCGGCAAATAAGGCGCACAATTGCGAAAGCGGATCTGCGAATAAGTAATTGAATAGCTTAAATTCTTGTGTCGATTTAGCAAATACGAGTTAACCCTTTGAATTCTTATAAACGCATGTCTAGCGGTACTCTTCGACGTGTTTGTCTGCCACGCGAAAGGAATACGTTTAAAAAGATAATATCCAAATTACAAAACGTACGTAAAATTTACATGCGGAGATATAAGAAAGTACGTACCTACACACAGATATTTAAAACCGTTTTGTTTCTTCGGCAGAGTTTTTACGTTTCGATATAAAATAACTCCGATAAATAGCTTGAAACGCGATTGTGCCAGCCGCAGCTATCGTTCGTACTTATATTCGAGTTTGCGCTACGAAGTTTACATTATCTTTTATTTATTGCGTCAGTGATACAATATGGGTTGTGCTTCTTCCCGGTGTTTATCGAAATAATGCTTTAGCCCGCGTTCGGTCCCGGTCAGCACCAGCTGTAGCGCTCATTGCCTCTAATATCAATAAATTTGCAGGTGCGCTGCGCAAATGGCTAGGCACAGTGCGTGCATCAGTACAAACGAGTTTAATTCGGCCGAAAACATATGCGTGATACATAGTCCTTCCTAATGCGATAAAGATTGGCTTCCTAACGGTCTGCATCGAAACGCGAGTTAAGTTACGGCCGGTTGTGATTTGTCACAAATTCACGAGAGCGCGGTGGACCCGATAATAATAACGTATCTTATAATAAACCGTAAAATTAATGCGTCACCTGAAGCATTATTTCGCTTTGCTCCCGTTTCGATGTCGATCCAAACGCATTGATACCCCTTTGAGTTGATATAATATCCACATTATCATCATTATTATTATTAGTATTTACGTCACTCAGAGAACTGCTGTTGTCATACTGTTTCGTAACATTCATAATTTATTAAACAAGTTGTGACATACTGTATCATCGATATTTGTCGAAGAGCGAAACAGCTTAAAAGCTTTGCTGTGGCTATATCTCGCATTATATTCTTTTTGTTCCAACATAGTGATTTATGTATACACAGGATGCCGCGTATCACGTTTTATCATACTTTAACGTTTCAATTCAATTTTTCATCAATGATGAAAAAAGAAAGAGTTTCAATTCAATTATTGAGGAGACGTTCTGCAGATATAGGGAATAATTCTGCCTGATTACAGCAGGAGCGTGTAGATGTAATCATTTCTACGACTGCGCATCGTATTGCATTTCGCGCGCAACGTCGTTTACGGCAAGTTGACGTTGCGCCGTAAGTCCACGCTCGCTCTCATCTCGGCGGCTGCGACACTCCGCAAAAGGAACTCTCCTAATCGCGATCAGGCCGAGCTCCGTCCCTCTACGAACTCTCGTCTCTGTCGTCGCGTTCGCGGACGTAACGGTGAACATGTCGTGGCGTTAATGTCGATACGATGACGCGTGTGTGGTGCACGAGCGAGCGGCCAGGACACGTGCGTCGAATGGCCGGCGAGCAGCTCGGCGCAGGCGGGCATTAATGCCCGCCGGACAAACGAGAGAGGAGAAGCAAAGGGGTCAGAGCGAACGCGAACGCGAGGGTAGGTACAGTTGCGCGGGGGCGGCGGATGTAAAGAGGAGAAAGATAGACCGGCGGGCTGGGGGGCGCGAGCGAGAAAGAGCGAAGGGGATGCGTGGAGGCGCGGGGGACGTTATTGTTATCTTAGATTTATAGTCATAACGGATGGTACTACCTCGCTAGCCAGCAACCCCGAGCGGTCTTATAATCACCCTCCTCCTACACCTCTTCCACCCACGCCCTCCCTCGTCTCCTGCATCCTCGACTATCCAACCGATCCCCCCCTCCCCCTCCCGCCCGTCCGCCTCCCGCTTCCCGGAGTCGAGCTCGCCCTCGCGTAGCTCCAGCCGCAGTTTAAGTGATTTGCGACGCGGTGGAGCCGCCATGCAGATCCTTTTGCCTGTAGCCACCCTCCCTCCGCGCACTTCTGTCCCCCGAGCGCCGCCACCTCGACGACCCTCCGCAGAGAGCGATGCCGCGGGTAAAACGGGCACAGCTAACCATCCTCTCTCTCTCTCTCTCCCTCTCCCCCTTCTCACGCCCGCTGCACCCCCTCCCCCCCCCCCTCGCGAGGGATTAAGTTCGCCGCGGCGCGAGGGCAGGCGGACGGTGTCCGTCGCTGGGCTGCCCCCAAATTATTATACATTGAGCAATAACGCGAAAGTAGTCGCCCGGTTTCGCGGGTGTCGTCCAGATGAACGAGTTCACGCCCGGTGCGGCCAGCAAGTTCCATGGATTGCAAACGCTCGGCCCGTCCTTGCGAGAGCCTCCCCCGTGAATTCGAACAGGATTGGATGTAACGTCCCCTTGCTTTCGCGCGTAACGATGTCGTCGTAAATTGTCGCGCGAATCTCACCAGGATAATCTCATATCGCTCATATAAAGATCATACCGATTGTAAATCCTTTTTGCACACCGCACACAGCGTGGTTCATAATGAACCGTGCACCTTCTCGCTTAAGCGGACAATATGCAAATCTATAGTTAAAAAATTATATTTACTCTCGTTTCTTTATTTTTTTAACACTTTGAGCTTCGAATTTTATTTAAATCCTACAGTATTAATCTAAAAAATTCAAGTTCAAATTAGTTAAGAAAAATGAAGTCTTTCTCTCTCCCTGGTTAAAGGAAAGTATATTTTTACCAACGCATTTTTTTAACCTATACTTTGTGAAAAATGCTTCCATGAATAAAGTTCGTGATTAATATCTTCGTTAATGAAAATGAGCAAAGTTCAACACCATCGATATTAAAAATATCAGATTTATAAATTTAACATTTTTTAAATGACATGTAAAACGCAATATAATATGAGATATTAAAATCCGCATTAACCACTTGCGCACGAAAATGTAAAATTAAATTTTTGAAATGGACATCATGAACAAATACGATCTCGACTCTCTTTATAAAATTTTATAATTTTGTTTTGCGTATGAAAAGTTTTGCCGTATTTGTTCAAGGGAAATGTGATAAATAATCACGTGCAAAACCCCCGATCACGTATTCAAGCTCAACGAACGATAATGAACTCAACAACACCGATCATTTCCGCGTTAGGAAGCCATTTAGCAGTTTAAACCCTCAGGGCGCGCGAGAAACGAAGGGAGGAGAGAGAGAGAGAGAGAGAGGCAGCGTTTCACTTGGAAATTCCGATATTTCGGGACGAGGGTGACGCAGAAAGCTGGGGCGCAGGGACGCGCCCCCGAAATGAACTGTTGTGACGAGCACGTAGGTCTGCGGATGGAGCCAATCAAGGAACCTCGCAGTCAGCGGGTTTAACCCGTGCCGTCGGTTGTTACCCTGACTCCAACCGTCTGCTTCGTGACTCTTCGATCTCGAGGAAAAAGCGACCACCGGAACTCAAGGGCGCTCGTTGTCACGCCTCGCTAGGAGGATACGAAGAATTAAAAGTAAACTGCAAGGTGGTGCAACTTCTGAGTTAGTTCCTCGAGCCCCTAATTGCACCCGCGAAGAAAATATAATAGCGATTAACATTTGATTACATTTCATTAAAATTATCGCGAATGTTTGCATGACGTGTATAATCGTATCTCAGCGAGTTCTGCGAGCGGAAACTAAAATTAGAGCTGTATAGAATTTTTAAGTCCGTTTTTTAGAAATCCAATTAAACATGAAACGATAATGTTCTCAAGAGCAATTTTTTTTTTAAGAAAAGATGATAAAAATCCAACATATTTGAACAACATTACAGAGTCTTTTAATGTAATATCAGATAATTACATCTAAAGGTAAAATTAAAATCTAAAGGTAAAATGAAAGTATCATATATTTTTATATAATCACAAGTACTTTGAATTTAAACGTGTTATCCAATTTTAACCGGTGACGAAAATCTTCAGATTTCCTCTATACATCTATTCGCTTTGTATTCTTTTATTAAAGATTCAAACTGTTATTTAAAAACGTCAAAGAAAATTACGAGCGCTCCGTCTCGCC